AAAAAAAAAAAAAAAAAAAAAAAAAAAAAAACATAAAACTTCAAGCCTTCAAGGCAAAGGTGCACTTCCATGCAAAATTCCACAAAATTTGCCCAACCTAAATTTCAGAAATATCAACAGAGTTAACTGTCCTTTCATAAGATACCAGGAAGTCTTATACACCACCTATAGATTCCATAAAGAATGACAAATTACTTCACTTTTATGATTTATTGTTTAGTGTAAAAAAAAAAAATCCCTTGACCATATCAGTTGAATTTTGAATTATTTGATTTAAAATCATACATATATATAATGGATAATATGTATACAAATACAATATTGTAATTTTATACATACTAAATTACTAATAGTCTACAATTAGACTAAATTTGACCCCCAAACCCTTATTTCAGTTTTGGGCCCAAGTCAGGGGTTGAAAACTTGGGGTCCCCGTTAACCAGTTGTCCTTGCTTCATACTTTTTTGTAAGCGAGATGCTGAACCCGGTTTCCAGCAGGTGCTGCTCCCGATTTCCTCCCGACCGACAGGTTGGAACCGTCACTCTCCATGGCTGTCACTATTGAGAGATGCTCATATCACCCTCAGCAGTGGAGAGGCCCCCAAATGATGTTAAAATAGCAAAACAAAAAAGGGTTCAAGTATAAGTCCCATTTTAACCAGCACCTCTCCACCACGATCACAAGATGTTCATGAAAGAGGTTCCGAGGAATGGTTGTGTGGGTGCATAATGCGATGTATTCCAAGAGAGGTGGTGGAGCAATTGTGGTCGCTTGCACAATCAGGAGGGGGATTAGACAGAGGCCAAGATGGTAAACATACCATAGCAAAGCCAGCCTGCATGAGGAAGACCAAAAACGCAGAGAAGATAAGGAATGTGTCATTCGCCCCCGTAACGGCGCCCGCTGCTGCTTGAACACCAGAGTTGCAGATGGCCTCACTAAAAGCAGTTGTGTTAAAACCTACTGGCCAGCCAGCTATATTGAGGGGGGCGCCAATGGCGCTCATACAGTCGTCCATGTTGAAGGGACGACAGGTAGGAAGGAGGGCACCTGCACGAAGACGGAGCCAACAATCAGTGAAGTGCGGTGACAGGAACAGGATTATGGCAAAACGAACTGGAATAGGAACAGAAACAGGGAAATGAATGGGAGGAGGAACAGGGAAATGAACAAGTATAGGAACAGGAATAGGAACAAGAATAGGAACAGGAATAGGAACAGGAATAGGAACAGGAATAGGAACAGGAATAGGAACAGGAACAGGAACAGGAAGATGGATTGGAATAGGAACAGGAACAGGAGCAGGAAAATGAATGGCAATAGGAACACAGAAATGAACGGGAGCAGGAACAGGGAATGAACTAGGAACAGGGGGAATAGCAACAAAAATAGGAACAGGAATAGGAATAGGAATAGGAACAGAAAAAGGAACGTGAACAGGGAAACGAATGGGAATTGGAACAAGAATGCGAACAAGAACAGGAACAGAGGGTGTCTCATAAGAAAGGGGTATTAGACACAGACTCCCCAAGTTTAAATAAATTAATTTATTTATGAATTAAAACAGATCTATCCTACCCCTTAAGCAGCATTGGCCACGGGGAGAAGGTCCATGGTCCGCTGTGCGACGGATTCGTGTTGAAGTTTTGGTCAGGGCCAGCGGATGAAGGCGATCAACGGCGGGGCAGCGCGCACGTACCGAAATGTTCACAGCGCGCCATTAAACGAGAGAGTGCACCCTGGAGGCGGGGCACACAGCGGGCGTTGATGCCGACAAATATCTTGAAGCGTCGGCCGTTTGATAAGAATCGCCCATCATTTTCGTTCATTTTGTTTTTTTTAATCATAAATTTGCCTTTTTTGTCGTTGTCTGCATTTTATTCCTTTTATTTCTCCCTTTTTCTGTCGGCCTTTTTCCTTTGTTTTTTATGTTGGCCTTTTATTTCATTTTGCCGCGTATATTCAGACGTTCTAGCGGAAGATTCATTCTCATATCGCACATTTCCCTGTTCGCGTTCCTTTTTCAGTTCCTATTCCTATTGTTTGCACATTCCTATAGAGTGTTCCCTGTTGTTCGCGTATATTCAGATGTTCCAGCGGAAGATTCATTCTCATATCGTATTTCTAGGCCGTTTTGATTTGGGCCTCGCTCCAAAAAAACAACAAACAAAAAAAGACAACAAAAACGGCGACATAATTTCCAACGCTCTAGCGGAAGATTCAGGGCACCACTCTCGAAATGTGCAAAATAAGAATGAACTTCCCGCTAGAACATGCACCCGCCAGATTTCTGTCTTTTTCACACTTCAAGAGTGGTATGGCCAGGTCCTCATTCTCGAAAATAGTGGGAGATCCATTCTCAAAAATGTGCAAATTGAGAGTGAATCTTGCGCTAGAAACATGGAAAGATACACCGCCATAATTTGTYTTTGGTGCACGTGAAGAGTAGTGGAGACAGTCAARAAAAAAAAAAAAAAAAAAAAAAGAAGAGTAGTGGAGACGGTCACTTCGTTGGGTCTCTCTCTCTCTCTCTCTTTCTCTCTCTCTCTCTCTCTCTCTCTCTCTGTGGGCCTCGCCACACCACTGTCAAAACGAAAAGAGAACAACAAATGCATCTGCCACAGAAAAGTGGTAAGATGCATATGTTGCAATTCGTAGCAACGGATGCATCTTGCTCTTTTCTGCAGGTAGATGCCTTCGTTCATTTTTCGTTTCGACTATGGCGTGGCGAGGCCCTCTCTCTCTCTCTCTCTCTCTCTCTCTCTCTCCGCCCCCGCCCCCGCCCCCGCCCCCTGGCGAGCGGACGGTGCGGCATCATGTCGGTGCAGCGGAGTGCCGGTGCAGCGGAGGAGGTTAACTGGCGAGGTGGATTTGGCAACAAGTGGCGAGCGGACCATGCTGTAGTGGCGGGAGAGGTGGTTTGCGCGCCACATGGCGAGCGGATGGTGCGGCAGCATGTCGGTGCAGCGGAGGAGGTTGAAACTTACGAACATGGCTTCTAATGGCGAGTTCGGCCACAACCCCATCATCCCCCTACGCTACCCCCCCCCCTCAATCCATTTCTTCCTCTTCCTTTTCCTTTTCTCCTTGGAATCCTTTTCTTCTTTTCTGCTTCGAACCTTTTTTTTCTCCTTTGAATGTTTTTTTTCTTCTTCTCCTTCGTCTTATCTGGTATACCTTTTTCTTCTTCTTCTTCTTCTTCTTCTTCTCCTCCTCCTCCTCCTCCTCCTTTGTGTGACAACCACGTGGTATAGCACCGTGCATTTTTTAATTTTTTTTGCGACCTTTCTATTTTATTGTTCAATTCGTCTTCTTTGTTTTCTTCGCGTGCGAACGACAGTTGCACGTGGCCTTCCCCACGAGAGAGAGAGAGAGAGAGAGGGAGAGGGAGAGGGAGAGTTTTCCTTCGTTTTTGCAGGGAAACAATTTATCAATCGATAAACCAATCTGATTGATTGATTGATTCGCTGGTTGATTGATTTATTGATTAATTGATTCATTGATTGATTCATTTATTGACCCCACTCCTCTCTACTCCCCCTGTTCTGCCGAGCTTTTTTTTTTTTTCCCCATCTTCAATCAATAGAGCTCGATTGGTTGATTGATTGATTGATTGGATGATTGATTGATTAATTGACCGATCAATTAATAAATTAATTGATTGATCAATTCCCTGATGAATCAATCAATTCTCCTGTTCCTCTTGCCTGATTCTTCCTCGCGGAATTAATTATGCAATCAATCAATCAGATGTGATTGGTTGCTTGATTGATTTATCGATTTTCTGTTTGAAAGAAAAAAACGATCCTCCCTGAGCTTCCTCATGCTTGCTTCCCCGCGTGTCACCCCGATCCTCCCCGATCGTCCCAACGTGTCCCGAGGTATCTTTTTTTTCTCCCTCTCCTTCGCGCGGTTGCCAGGTGACAAACCGCTGCGCTGTTTTATTTTTGTTTTTATTTTCTTTCTTTGCGCCATGGTGCGGTCACCCCCGGTACTTTTTCTTCTTAATCTTCTTCTTCTTCTTAATCTTCTTATTTCTCTTCTTCTTCTTCCTCCTCTTAATCGTTTTCTTCTTAATCTTCTTCTTCTTCTTGATCTTCTTATTTCTTTTTTCTTCTAATTCTTAATCTTCTTTTTCCTCCTCCTCTTAGTCATTTTCTTCTTGATCTTCTGCTTTCTTTTTCATTTCCTCCTTCCTTCTTCTTTTTCTTTTCCTTCTTCTGCATCTTCTTTTTCTTCTTCTTTTTCTTCTTCTTCTTCTTCTTCTTCTTCTTCTTTTAATATTTTTTTGTTGTTCTTCTTTGCCTTCTTTTCTTGACGATGATGACAATGTTCAGCACTGCATTCTTTTCTTGACGATGATGACAACGTTCATCACCACCACGTGGCAGCAAGGAGAGAGAGTGAGAGAGAGAGAGAGGCTCCCATCACCAGAGAGAGAGAGAGAGAGAGAGAGAGACAGAGAGAGAGACCCCGATGTGGTTGCCACATAGCAACCTCCTTCGCGTGGTTGCCACGTATCAAACCTCCGTTATCCGGCCTCCACCGCCTTTTGTTCTTTTTCTTCCTCTTCTTCCTCTCCTTAGCACGGTAGCCCCGTATCAAAGCGCCGCAGATTAATTGTTATGGCCCTGTAGTGGTGGTCCGGGGTAAAACTTCTCAGCTTTCACCAGCTGTCCAATTGAACCTTTTCCAGTATACACGCTTATATTGGAACAGGCTCCATGCTGGTGAAAGCCGGCGCTTCGATACGTGGCTACCGTGCTAAGGAGAGCCAGCATCCATAGGGCATGGACCAGTAAGGGATGTTGGACCCAGTTTCCAGCAGCTGCAGCTCCCCACCAATAGAAAGGAGCCATCTGCCGGGAGGGTATCACAGGGGGATGCTAGTATCACCCCCTGTGGCACCCCTCCATGGATGTAAAACAAAAAGCCAAAAAAAAGGGCATGGACCAAGCGCAGAGAGGAACTCAAAACAGCCGCAGACTGTTAAAGAAAGAAGAATGGGCCAAGTGCGTTGCTGTCACTTTTGAGTATTGTATGAGAGAGAAAAAACACGCGCGGGCAAAGAAAACAGGCACTGAATTCGAAAAGCAATGAAAGTACCGACGGCCGTGGTGTCAGGCCAGGTGTCATAACTACAGGGGTCGGCCATGATGTCAAACGGGGAAAGAAAAAAAAAGCCCAACAGATTCTTTTTTACCCAAATTGTCATTTCAAACTCAGGCCATGATATCTTTGTGGGCACGTGTTTTCTTTTGCCTTTGCGAACTCGAAACCTGCCTCGTCCCGTTGTTTCAAGAGGAATTCATACAGACATCATACTAACCTGGCTTGACCCAGACAGGACTTAGATACACATCAAAGGCTGACCTGGAAGCAATGGTGGAGAGAAGAGCACCCGTGGCAGTGGCTCCCAATCCGAAGGTTTTGCAGGCCACGCCGTGGGGAGCCTATAATTAGCATCCACACTGAGTCCCACCTCCCCTACCTCCTTCTCCCGAACATAACGCATATGCGTTGTATTCGAGTTTCAAACTTTGAAAAAACAATCGAATAGAACGTTGTATTCGAAATTTCAGGCTGTTCGAATAGAACGCATATGTGTTTGTATTCGAATAGAATGCACCCTATGCGTTGTATTCGTTTACAGCGCATATGCGTTATGTTCGGGGGAAGAAGGTAGCATCCTCAAACGGACAACCCAGGTGAGGTATTGCAGGAGAACTACTGGCGAAGGGAACATTTGTCACAACCCAACGGACTGTGATAGTCCTCTGGATACTCCTGATCGGTATTAGCGGGGTCTATGACCAACACGGGTGTGAGTGTGAGCCCGAGTGGGTTGTGTGTGGTGTGTGGGAGAGTGTTGGCCATAGCCTCTGCTGCTACTCGATGAAGGGTGGGGGACTATGAGAAAGGGAGGCACAGCTACTGGCAGAGAACTCGTAGAAAGAGAGTTTTTCTCCAAGGGAAAACCAAGGGTTGCTGTCGGGACCACGCTGGCCGCAGCTGGGGCGAGTCGTGTGTTGCACTGTAACCTAGCAGGG